TATTGTTGGATGTCTAGTATTTAGCATTTTGTTTCAATATTAACAACAAAGATGATTTATTGTTTCATCTCTTTGTGATATTACTTTTAGATTTGCATTTGAGTAATAAGCCAACCTAATAAATTGTTTTTCTAAGGCAGTGTTTGGTAGCATATTATTAATAGGATTTTCCAGCCAATCACCAAAAAAACTGAACATTAAATCCAATTTTCTCATTTCTATCTATTTTTTCTCAGGTTTTGTCTTCTTCCCGACGAAAATAAGGGTTTATTAAATCCGACTACCTCGGATTTATTTCAGAAAATCCTGATTTATCGGATTTGATAAATCCTGCTTAACTTAAATTTAAGTTGTGGCCAAACATCGTCTTAGAGAAACAATCTGGCATCAATCACTCAGAAGCACCCCAAGTCATTAGTGAACTTTAATCTGAGAGGAAGAAAGAAGAACCACAAGACCAGCTACCTGACATGACAAAGTAAGCATGTTGTGTGTTAAACTGCTCATGGTTAGAGAGAGTTTATATATTTAGTGTTGTGTAAAACTTTTTACACACATAAAATAAGTTGAGAGCAATACATACGGAACAGAACTTTTGATATGAAGAATCTAAAAAGAAAAAAGGCTATTAAGACTAATCTTCCTAAAACAATTCCACTATATTAGTTCAAAATTTGAAGAATTGAAAGTCAAGAGCTGGAAAATGGTTTGTGCAATTGTCCTTTTATTTGTAAGGAAATTTCAGATACTAAAAATGGCGAGGAGAATTCTTATTAAGTATGGATGCTGGAACGGAATGAAGCTAGTCAGCGGAGTGGAGCGAAAGCTGTCCAATCGAGAGTTGGGGGTGCGGGGCAACGCCCCAGCAGTACGGTACGGAGGTAATTTTGTAATTACATATTATACTCTAGGGTTATATATATATATGTTGTATTGTAACCCTAATAGGACGTACTCTTTTTCAAGAAATAAAAAAGCCGCTGCTCTTGCTACTACTCGTAGACAAATTGCATAACCTCGTTAAATCCCTGTGTTTGTTCTTGATTCTTGCGTTTTCTTCATCCTAATTTCTCAACAATTCTAAGCATGTTTGATTCCAAACACCGAAGCTTAAGAATTCTCCAACTATAGAAAATTTGTCCAAAAACAATCCTCAAGTTATGCAAAACACATACTTACCACATAATTCTTATATATTTACATATCCAACACCTAAACTTTAATATTTACACGCATAACACTTCAAAATCTTTAATATGACATCCAAAACAGTATTATTTCTAACATTTTTTAAGTGAAATGCATCTTTTATTACATAAGTTTATGACACTATGAAACTTTAGATGTTAAATATGTAAATTCCCTCCAAAACAATAACTTTATTTGTTTCATTTAGCATAACATGGCATCTAACTTCTTCCAAATGATGAGTTTAATAAATTGCATGATTTCTAAGAAATATTTTCTAATTTAATGCAACTAAATAAGCCCTGAGCTACATCAATCTTTCCATCATAAGAATTATTCTCAAATTGCAAAAAAGAGAACAAAATATTCTACTTTCCCTTCAATATAAACCAACATTCAGAACAGCATAACTACAACATGAAATTAAAATAAAAAACAAAAAAAGAAAAGAAAACAAAAGGGAAGTTAATTAACAGAACTAACTTCTTCTCTTAGCTTCTTTCTCAGCTTTTCTTCTGGCCCTTACCTCTCTGGAACTTGCAGAGGATCTGAAACCTCCGCCATTAACTTCAGAGTCCAAGTCCTCCAAATCCTTGAATGATTTCTATTGATGAACAGAAGCACCCAAAACAAAAGCTTCTAATGAAAGTTAAAAAGAAAAAAAAAATGAAATTTATGAGAAATCGGAGGGTGTTTTTTGCAGAGAATAGTACTTCACGCAGCTCGGCAAAGCTGACGGCGTAGAAGGTCACGGCGGCCGCCGCCCCTAGATGGGAAGCGCGATCTGCCCTCCGTCCATTTTTTCTACCTTTCTTTTTTTTTCTTTGTGAGAGCTTTTCTTCTTATCCAAACGGAAGATTTTACGCACAAACCACTCAATTCTTATGTATTTACATATCTAACGCCTCAACTTTAGTTTTTACATAAAAGGCACTTTACCTCTTAAGGAAAAAGTCTTGGGGATAATTATAGAAATAGCACCCCAAACGTTGGCTATTTGTAAAATTCTGCAACCAGGTGATGTTTTTGAAAATATGGGTTGGGTTATTTTTACAAATTTTGATATTTGAATGAGAATTTGAAAAAATGGATGAAATTGGATGCTAGGTTTGTAAATAGCAATGTTTTGAGTGCTATGCATGTAATTGCTAGAAGACTTTGCTTTTCTAAGGCTTAAGATGGTTGTTTTTTGCTTATTAGATAATGTAAATACATATGATTTGGTGGTATGTAAAGGGCCAGAAGATTTAGATACATGCCACTTAATTCATATGTATCTAGTCTAATACCTAACTTCACTTTTGCATACATACATACCACTTTTTCTACCCATGAAAGACATATTTTACTTTTTTTAAGTTAACATGGTGATATTTTTGAAGTGATATGAAAGATTTGTGGTATAAAATATTAAAAAAAAAAAGTAAAATATAGACGTCATGTACATAAATACATTAAGAATTGGGAGGAATGTATGTAAACGCTCTTAAAAGCTACATTTCAATTCATGAGGAAGAAGCCTACGATCAAAACTTGAAGGAGACTTCCATCAGTCCGCCAATCACAGAGGACGAGCCAGAGACATTTACAGAGCCTACATCTTCAGAGATCCTCGATGAGTGTTAAAAATGAAGAAAACATTAGTGCGGTCATCCATATATACGGATTATGGGTGTACATTCTGAGTACATCTTATCCGCACTTACTGTTCGTCAGCACATAATATTTTTTTTCTAAAAAATGGCTTTAAAGAAGAAAAAAGTAGCACTATTATAACTTTTAGGAAAGAAAATATATCTTTTCATATATAGATAAGGTGACATATATATATAAATATTTAGGTTTATATATTTGATATGTAATATATAGAAATTAAATGACATGAACGTAAATATACTATTTTTATTTGACATTAATCTTTATGTTCTATTTTTCTTAATGAAATTCGTCGAGTTCAAATTTCATATAATTTCCTTTACTTGATTGTCGCCTTAATCTGAGACAAGTTGTTTTGATTTCGAGCTAGATTCAGCAAGTTTCAAGCCTATTTCAAGCTGGAATGAATCCAAATAACTCAATTGGAGCCAACTCATTTCGATTTCAAGTTGGATCGAGCTCGATTCAAGTTCTAACCATGTTGGCGTAAAATTGAATTTAACGAGTCTCGATCCGATTTCGAGCCGCACTCAATCACTTTGAGCCGATTTCAAGCCGACGCAACTCAACTCGAGAAATTGGATTGTTAATGGCCCTAAAGTAAACCCTATGCCTCAGGGAGTGATAAAACTACTATATTGCACTGAAGTGCTGGAACTATCAGGTGACGGTGTCTAGTAATAAAGCTGATAGTGTTAAGATATCATCACATAGATAAAATAAACTAAATATGATCCATTGACCAAAAAAATTAATTAGCCTTTGCTTCCTGTTTCGAATTTAAGCCTTAATAAGCTTCATAAAATGATTGGCCTTTTTTGGGAATTTTTTTATTGGTTTTTTTTTTTTTTTGTATCTCATAAAAC